GTCAATTTTCCCTGTGGAACATCTCTCGGACGCTGAACTTCGGGATGTCGCTCGGCTTCTTGGCCTGGATGACGGTGAGGGCGTCTCGAATTCCGTGTTGGTTCCTCGTGGTGATCGCTCAGAGTGGCCACCACGCGTTTTCCAAGATGTGGTTGATTCGACTCGTGCGAAACGCGAGTTAGCTTCTCTGGTCCGCGCCTTTGGTTGCGAGCGACTCCCAGCTCGGGTCTTCGGGACGTCGACGGCGCTTCATCGCGCGGTGAAGGAACTGCGTGAGTTCCAGGGGCAACTCAACGAGTCGGCCCTGAAGAACGTCAAGAGGGTTGCCGAGCTGATGATCGAGCACGACAATGTGCGTTCCGGATTCTCAATCTTGAGCAACTTCTGGGATGACCAGTTTCAGTTGGCTCGAAAGCAACTGGACCACAAGGCCTCGGAGCATGACCGGGATTTCAAGCGCGCAGCTCAGGATCACGAGCGCGAAGCTCGAGCTCTGCAGGCCCAAGTGGATAGTCTTTCGGAAGAAAATGACGACCTCCGCGACTGTATCCGGGGTCTCGAGAACAGGCTCACGGCGGGGTCCCTGAATGTGGACGATGAACTTCTTGAACCGTCATGGCACTCGGGTCGACGGCAACTGGCCTCGCCTGAAGGCGCTGTTGGAACACGCCAAGGACTCCAAGATACCTCCGAGTGGCTGGAAAACTCAGATCCTGGTCAACGCAATTGATGACTTCGGAGCACAATTTGGACCTTACACCTTCGAAGACGAGGGCAGTCCAGACGACGGCGACTCCAAGGAGGATGACAGGTCTGGAAACCGTGACGGCGGCAAGAACAAGCCTCTGGATCTCTCGCACGATTCGTCAAATCCGCCGCAGACGCCCAAGAAGCCCGAAGCGTCGGGCAAGTCTCGATCTCGGGGTACGGTTCAGCTTCGCCCCTCGGCGTACACGCCGAATGATCATGACGCTCTGGATGCCACCAAGCAGCCACTCCGGACCGTCACTCAGGTACGCGAGTCTTTGAAGGATCTCCCGGTAGTCTGGTCCAAGCAACGCTCGGACCTGCAGTAGGTCATGCTCTCCGGACTTGACTATCAGGACGCTCTGGACCTGGTCAGCGGGGACAACGAGGTGCACACCAGGATCACATCGCGGGCTTTAACTGAAATGTTGGTCCGGATGATGTACTGGGGCAAGCTCGACCAGACTCCGTGGACCAAGTACGTACCGACGTGGTACTTCAAAAGCGCGGAGGCGCTCATCGAGTCGACGGACGAAATTCCGGAGCGCTGGCCCAACTTAAAGAAGATTCGTCTGGAAGATGAAGCTGAGATCCAGATGGCGCTCTACGAGGACATCTCGAGCGAGGACGATGATGAGCGGGACGCGGACTTTCAAGATAGCAGTCCAAGTGGCAAGTCCCACAACAGCTCCGGTCGCCGGACGACTCCGCCTCGGGGCGCCAAGCACAAGCGCGACTCAGAATCCGGAGCGTCGGGAAAGTCTTCGGGCGGCAGTGATTCTGGGGAGCCTGAACACAAGAGATCCCGTCCTTCTCAGGAACGCAAGCAGTCTGCTCTCGCCCGGAAGAAGTACGCGAAGCTGACTCCGGGGCAGCTCAAGGTAGTCGAAGTTCCGGGTCGTGGTGTCGTCTCTCGGCGTCACTATGGGCTGCTGATGAAGTTCCCGCCTGGAACGGCCAACGCGGTCGAGCAGACTACCGGATTCCCAGACTACACTCCGATTCTCGCTCGCGTGGAGGAGGCGGATCAGGTCCGGAAACGCTGGCTTCAGGCTGATTTCGCGGAGCTCTTGAAGTCGGCACCCTGGAACAATATGTTCGAGGACCGAGTCCGGCAGTTGCTGCTTCACCGGCCCGCAGATCTGGATGCCAAGATCCAGGATGGTCTCTCAAGGCTGGTCAAGTTCATGAGCGAGAACCGCAAAGCCTTCTGGTACACCGGCCACTGGTTCTTCGTGAATCACGGTCTGGATGCAGCTTCGGATCAGCTCCGCCAGGACTGCGACTACGCCAATAAGCACTACAAGCGCCTCATTGATGAGCTGGTCAAGGATGGATTTCCGGAGTCGCTGTTGGAGGAGCCCGGGGTCTGGACGTACCCGTCCAAGGTCTGCTTCTGGGTGATCATGGATCCCTCTCACGCGGACGACTCGGGCAACCGGATCACGCTGCAGTCCCAGCTGGAACTCGTGGACCGTGCTGAGCCGGCTCGCGCGCAGTGGAACTACTGCGACTCGGATGAAGCCTGCACCCAGCATCTCTCGCAGGTTCTGAAAGACCGGCTTCTGGACGAGACTGAGCGCGGGCAGTACAACGTCTCGGACGACTTCCCATGAAGACATTCCGGAGTCTCAACTCGAGTGGAAGCCCGAGGCTTCTTTGATATTGCATGTCTAACGTAGTGCTAATCCACTTAATACACTCGACTCATTTGCATATCCACACTTCAGTTTCAGGTTCCTCTTATCGTAGTCATCTCGAAATCCACCTTCTTAGTCCGAATGCTCATCATTCACTAATCGTCTTAGTCCACGAAAAT